GCTTTTAGCTAAAGAAAAGCATTTGAAAACCTGTTACTCATACCAGACCACCCAGTCAGAATACAGGAGGAAGTTAAGCATGACCAGTCCCTCAGATGTTCCTTCTGTCACACCCTACTCACCGAAGTTATGTGGGACTGCAGCAGGGTTTGAAATTACAGGGCCTCAAAAAAAACTAGAGGGTTTTTCTTTTCTTTTTTCTTTTTCTTTTTTGTTTTTGTTTTTGGTCCATCAGGCAGGTTATTAATGAGAAAATTACTTTCTACTTCTAATTTGTGATGTTCCCCCAGACCCCCCCCCTCCACCCCCAATAAGCACTACAGCTTACATACTGGGCATAGCTGGAAAAACTGAGAACTCTTAAGCTTGAACATTCAGATGGGAGCTGGGGTGGAAGGGCCATTCGACAATCCATAGCCTACATGCCTCCTCCTGGTCTCCCTGTGAGGCCAAGGCATCACTATGTGGTTTATCATCGAAGGGATTGATGTTCAGTTCTTGGGTGATCTTCGGTGAACTTACAGACTGAGTAATATGAGTGGCGAGCACAAGGAGGGAAGGAGATTGTTAAACACCTTTTGGTATTGCACACGTGTCCGGGGGACCAGAGCGAGGTGAACAGGTGCAGAACTGGAATTCTGAAAACAATTAAGGAGACATTTAGGAGTCCCTGCCTCCAGAATGGCTTGGAAATATAAGTGGTCCTGTGGGATGCAGTTTCTCAGGCAGATTTGCAGAGGCTGCTAAGCTTGGAGGTACTGACCTTACTTCCTCTGAAAGCAACTTGGACTGTTTGTTATTCGTAGTCACTTGACAACTTACCTACACTGGTTAGCTGAAACATCATGGCAGACGAATGGTTAACAAAATATCCAACCATGTCAAGTCCATAGCCACATGCTTGTGTATCTTATTCACAAGGTGAAAAGTTTTAATGTGTGTGTTTGTGCATGTGAGGAGAGAAAGAGGGATAAAGACACACACAAAGAGGGGCTAGAAAGAGAGAGAGAAAGGCTAATGAATTAAATCGACCAAGGCAAGGGAATCAGAAACATTCAAACTCCATTGTTAAAAGGGAAGGTGTAGGTTAACCTTGACTCAAACAACTTCCTTCTAACCCTTCAGCAGCACATTACCTAAGACACTAAAGTGCTAAATTGGCCAGATAAGAGATGTGCTAAGATGTAAGATCTCCTGAACAACAGAGAGAAAATTGAAGTGAAAATTGCAATCTCCACCAGCAAGAGATATAAGTGAGATGAAGTGAAAATGTTTACAGTGGAAGGACAGCGAGGAAATGTGAAGAGGATGATATTTAATAATAAAGATTAAATTGGAGACCTGGGAAGGAAAGGGAGACCTAAAAAGGGGGTTAGGAAAGTCAGAGACACACAGCTCCACGGGGATCCGGGTGTGGGGGTTGGGAACCGCTTAAAGGAGCTTTACCAGAGTCAGCAACAACTCCCCTGAACTCTGAGGGTACAATCGCACTTGTCAAGGCACTGGCAACAGATGTTTTTTTTCTGGAAGAAGAATGGCAGAATGATAGTCACAGGAGAATACCCCGACCTGCACAAGGGCAGTGTCTCACTGACAGCTAGACAAGAAGGCACGCAGCAGACCCAGAGGAAACACAGAGGCTGTGTCCCAAAGCTGGAGGGTTGGTTAGCATGGGGCAAAACAGAGAGAGGCAGAAAGATGCTAAATAACGTATCTTTAGCTGGGTGTGGTGGCACACGTGTTCGAGGCCAGCCTAGTCTACGGAATGAGTTCCAGGACAGCCAGGGCTGTTCAGAGAAACTGTGTCACAAAAGACCAA